CTTGAGGCGACTGTTGTTGTGATTTGGCGCTGTGTAAATAAAACTGAATTGAATTGAATTCCTCGTTTATTCTCAAAATGTAGAAACATTCTGTAACACCTGCCAGATTTCATATGTTTTAATTTATTATTTCAGTTTTAGCTTAAAATTGTTGATTTGTGATTGCACATTCAGGAGCTCAATATATTTTTATTTTCTTGCTTCTTAAACAAATCTTCATATCAGAAAAATGAATCAATTAGATGTTTCCAGAAGATGCTTCCAGGTGTTTGAAGTGCTCAGTTTATTCAACCTGCAACGCAAAAACTCTTCAAATGTTCAAAACCTGTTAAACAAAAAGTAAAGCAGAGTTCTTCACTCACAGTATGACATCATTACTTACAAACACTCAAAAATAACAGTGAACAGACGCGTTAGCTTGTCTTTTTTTCACAAACTGATCCTGACATGCCGCATGCACACATTCATCCTCAGAAAAACATACAAACTGTATAAAAGTACAATTCAGAGTAAAAACTGTACACCGGCACACAAACTGGTCAGTGTGCCAGTCAGACCGAGCAGAGGTGGATTTCAGCAAAGGCACGGTTCTCCGCAGGGAGACAAACACTTTCATTTAAATCACAGAATAAAACTAAAGTTTAAATCAAAGAATCAGAGGCTCTGTTCACACTACTCAACAACCAAAGTTTATAAGCTGTGCTCAACCCAAAAGCTTACTTATTTGCAGTTCCTCTACTGGTCACTAGGTGTAACTAAAACACCTCGCCTGTACTAGCAAATTGAAGATGAAAAACTCTAATTTTTCTCCACAAAACAGTGTAGTACTTTAAAAAAATAAAATAAAAATTAGTTCCAAGCTCCTCTTGTTCTTTTACCAAACGTTTCACAATTCCGAAAGTTTCTGTTTGCTTAGTTGCAGTTCCTCTAGTGGCCACCTGAGGCTGCTATAACATACGAAGTGTGTTCAGATGCTTTTCATTCTTTTATGTGAGTTTTATTTTATTTTTCAAAAAAGAATCATATTATATTGTTATGGGGGTTAGTTAGGGTTCCTCTCATGGCCTCTAGATGTTCCCAAAACGATTTGTAGTGAAATGCAAAAATAAAATTACATTTGAAAAAATTACAACAAAACCCCCCATTATAGTCATTTTTTAAATTCATCTCTTAGAAACTTATCACAAAGTCTTTTCTGTTTATAGAATGATTTAATATAATGAAAGTTCCATTTGCGCAATTGCACTTCCTCTAATCACCACCAGAGGCCACTAAAACACCACAGCACTGTTAAATCGGTTTGGGAAGTAAGCAAAGTCAGATGATTTTAATTATTTTATATACTCTATTATTCAGTTTGTAACAGTCACAGTGGTGTGGTGTCTCTTTAATGTAACATAAGTCAAGGGGTTATGAGGTCATTAGTGTGCACCACTGCCCTCTCTGTGATTTATGGGAACAAAGTGCTTGCTCTCCAGAAACCTTTGCAACGTTACGGGCTGTATGAACACTGCGTGTCATGTTTGATAAGTAGCAGCGGTTCAACCGGGCCTTGTATGGTTGATGAAGAGGAGGTGCATTAACGGATATGTTGTGGAATTCCCAGTACCAGTGTGATCGTGTATTCTTCCTGCTATCCTGCTAAGGTTTCGACCGCCTCCTCTCAACCACTGAACACAACCCAACATTACAACAGAGTTTAACTCAACAAAGGACTGGAATTGAATTACATTGTGGTTTGCTCTGTTGTTGGCCACTAGGTGGTGCTAAAACATGCTGCCTTTAATGACAAAAGCGGAACAAAGTAAAAAAACCAAAACGTAGATTTTTTAAAGGAAAATCCAGCTTTCAGAAACACAATGCTTCTTCTGTTTACAGAATTTTTTAATACACCAAAAGTTTCTGTTTGCTTAGCTGCACTTCTTCTAGTGGCCACAGGAGGACGCTAAAATAGGGTGACTGGTTATTAGAACATGAATCATGGCGTAGTTTTTAAAATGTAAAAAAGTCTTTATGTGCTTAATGATTAAGTCTTAGCAGAGAACAAGTCAAATTAAAGATCTGAATTAAGTTGTGGTTTGCTGATGTTCCTTTAATGGCCAAGAGAGGCTCCTAAAAACTGTCTTTGTATTAAAAACGTATGAAAATTAACAGAGAAACGCTTTTAAAAACCTTCACTGAAGTCCGTTTCCCCAACTGTAATGATCTAAGTACATATAAGATTATTCTGTGTTTTACAACCACGAGAGCAGCCACATGTTTGATGCCACAAAAAAAAAAAAGAAAATACAAAGTCTAATCTTTTTCAGATTTGGGAGGATTCACGGTCTGCAGTGTGGGCGGAGCCTAGGGATGGGTACCGGTGTACCGGTTCTGACATAAACGGTAGTAACCAGACC